TGAAAGAGATGTATCTTTGCTCTGGAAACTGTTAATGAGTATGTTAAAGCTGTAATAAAATGCTTTTAAAAAAAAGCCAGATGTACTCCTTATGTAAAAGGAATTATTCCCTTTGGGATCTTGTTTGGGTGACCTCCACCCCTTACTTCCCGCTTAGGGGAGGAAAACCTGATGGAAATATCTAATTACAGCCTTTTACAGTCATTGTAGGCTCTGCAAAATGCTCTGAGCCAGGTACATGGACTAGTGCAGGAGGCTCATGAGCCCAGTCATCCCTCACTGACCACTGAACAGACAGATCTACAACCTGGTGATTGGAGTTGAGTCCATAGACATCAAGTGCCTAACCTTGAACCCAAGTGGGCTGGTCCATATCCGATCATCTTGCTGACTCCAACTGCTGTTAAGGTTGCCGGACATGCCCACTGGAGTCACCGTTCCCAAGTTAAGAGAGCCCATCCGGACCACATTCCTCAAACATGGACAGTAAAAAGAACAGACAATCCCCTCAAGGTCAGACTGGTGAAAAAATCTTAATTCTTATATTCTCCTTCTGGATAATAAAAACTGTTACTGGGTACAGTGACTGAAATCCCCATGAGCCATCCCCTGATAATTGGGTATTAAAAAGAACTTCAGAGGGTAAGATCTTAGCCACTAACACTAACCACTCCCCTGGCTTTCTGTTTGGCCTTTGTGATCTGTTTTCTTTACAAGAGTAACTATTTGTGTCCCATCTCCTCGACCCTGGGGATATGGAACTCCTAGTTATGAAAAACAGCTGCAAAGCTTACAGGTTTATGGATGTCCAACAGATGGGAGTCCAAAATGTAATCGTGAAAATGAGTGGCATTGTGGAACTTGGTGCTGTGAGACATTCGCCTCATGGATTGGATCTAAGGATAGATGGATTTCCTTTTAGCGTGAAACTCCTGGTATAACAGTGGGAAAATTTAACCCCTTAGTTTTAAAGGTATTAAATGGGCATGATAAAAGTTGGCTTGCAGGGAGGACATGGGGAATATGACTGTATGCTTCAGGAAAGGACCCTGGATCAGAATTTACTATCCAAAAGTTTGAGATTTCTATAAGCCTTCCAGTACCTATAGGACCTAACAAAGTCCTTAATCCTCCCTTACCACCAAAGCCACTTCCTACTATGTCAGAGCCACCCCCTATTACATACACTAATTCCCATAGTGTTTCACGATGGGACCCCCCTGAATTATATGTCTTTGCTCTATACATGTGAATTTTTCAATGCTACTGAACCCAGTCTCACAAGAGACTGCTGGCTGTGCTTGGATCCTAGACCTTCTTACCCAGTCATCCCTCACTGACCACTGAACAGACAGATCTGGAACCTGGTGATTAGAGTTGAGTCCACAGACATCAAGTGCCTAGAACCTAAGTGGGCTGGTTCATATCCGATCATCTTGCTGACTCCAACTGCTGTTAAGGTTGTTGGACATGCCCACTGGAGTCACCGTTCCCAAGGTAAGAGAGCCCATCCGGACCACATTCCTCAAACATGGACAGTAAAAAGAACAGACAATCCCCTCAAGGTCAGACTGGTGAAAAAATCTTAATTCTTATGTTCTCCTTCTGGATAATAAAAACTGTAACTGGGTACAGTGACTGAAATCCCCATGAGCCATGCCCTGATAATTGGGTATTAAAAAGAACTTCAGATGGTAAGATCTTAGCCACTAACACCACCACTAACCACTCCCCCAGCTTTCTGTTTGGCCTTTGTGATCCGTTTTCTTTACAAGTAAGAGTAACTATTCGTGTCCCATCTCCTCGACCCTGGGGATATGGAACTCCTAGTCATGAAAAAAACTTCAAAGCTTACAGGTTTATGGATGCCCAGCAGATGGGAGTCCAGACTGTAACCGTGAAAATGAATGGCATTATGGAACTTGGGGATATGAGACATTTGCTTCCTGGATCAGATCAAAGGATAAATGGATTTCCTTTCAGCATGGCACTCATGGTATAACTATGGAAAAACTTAACTTACTCCCTTGATTCTTTAGCTGAGGTAATGTTACAAAACTGGCACTGGGTGAAAAATGTTGCTTCTATGCTAACCATACTGGAATGATTAGAGATAGTATTAGGTTAGTCCAGCAACAAATTAATGCTCAAGAAAGGGATCTCAGTAATCACCAAAACTGGTATGAGTCCTTATTTTCCTGGTCACCCTGGCTGACCACCTTGTTAAGTGCTGTTGCTGGGCCTGTGAG